GATGCGGCAGCCTCCGTTGTTTCGCCTTGAGTTTGTGTTGCAGGCATTGTTGATTCCACGATTTCGCGCTCGTGAGAAGTGCAACTTTCGTCTTCATTGGCGGAATGTGAGTCTAGAATATTCTGAGATTCACCCAGCGGGGTTGAGCGAGTTGGCGCAATTCCAGCGTTGGCATTTTGATTAGGGACTGTCAGGGTACCCACCGGCGCTGAATCTAGTGTATCGGCTAGTACAGTGTTTGCCTGACTGCGAAGAGGTGTCAAGATGGCGTGGATGTGAATATCGATGTTTCCCGGTGTAGACCCAGGGGCGTCTAGGTCTGGTATACGGGGAGATGTCGCAACAAGCGCCCTGTAGGGGTCACTATGAGAAAGCGGAACGTCGTCAGGTCCAATCAGGGGGTTGAATCTAGAACGTTGAGCTGAATTAGTGACGTCGCTGTGGCTGTATGACATGGGAGGAGAGTTGATCGACGTACTGGCAACTGAAGTGGAAATATACGGTGCATCATCATTCCGTGCAAGTGCAGCAACCTGTGCTGATTCATACGGCGAATGTTTTCACAAGACGCAGACAACGACGTGCGGGGACAGATCGGCAAGAACACGACCAAGGCGGTCAAGGAGCGGCGCTGCGTCTCGGGCGAGATTTCGGATCTCGTTTGTTCTTCTACCATCACCTGTGATTTTAGAATACATCCTAGGCTACCAAAATTCCTCGCACGGCGCTGCTTACGTTCTGTGAGCACTGGCATTTCAACTCTAGTTGGGCCAGAGCCATCAGACTGGATCGATGGCCATGCCCATGGGAGGCGGGGATCACGAAGCGACGTAAGGATTGCAACGGCCTCTGCATCTCGTCGACTTACATCATCTCGGCTTAGATCAGCAAGTGCTTTGAGGAGTGGTGCCACTTTATCGAAAACGCGCCTGATGGATATATTGTGAAGATTCGCTTTAAAACAGGACCCTGCAATGCTCGCTGTGTCTCAACAACTGCAACGCGCACATCCTCCGCGACTCGACGCTGGGCTTCCTCCGTAGCGAGGCTCGGCAAACGTGTCCGTCTTTCTGGTAGCGCCGCCGTACTCCGATTTGTCGCAGTCTGACTTCGTCGCTCTCGTGCCTGAAATCTTATTCTGGGCCCGTCACCACTTCGGGTTGACTCCGAGAGATACCCATGATGTTGCCGGTGCATCTTCGACGTTGGCATGCGGCGAAGGAGAAGCATGTGGCGCATTTACAGAGTGGAGGGTGCGAGTGCGGAAAGGCGCAAGGCGGTTGCTGTCAAATTCTATCCACTCGTCCCAACGGGTTGGCCAGCCGTTGTAGTGAACCTGAACAAAATATCCGTCGAGAGTTCTTATTTACCGAAAGGATGTCTCCTGTGGCGCTAGTCCGAAAACCAGCATCCGACGACCGCGGACTCGCATCACCGTCGCCTCGAGCCACTGGTGCACGGTATCTTCAACATCGACCCACTGTCCCGCAAAGAACGTTGGTGTACGATCATCGGGGTCGGCCGGCCCGGCAGCAGCAGCAAGATTTCGCCGAAGACCAATGAGTCGCTGCGTTGCAGTCGCTGTACTTGTTTGATTGACCGCCCTGATAAGCGACTGGCGGAGCCTCAAGCGTGCTGCCGCAACCGCGACAGCGGCCTCGAGAGCATCTTCGCTCGGCACCTGCATGTTTGGTGCTCGGTCATGAGCTGCTTGCTCCATCTCCAACGCAACAGGTCCTGGCCTTGTCAATGAAAATGTTGTTGGTGATGAAGAATGGTCACCTGGCTGTGTTCTAGACAGAGTTGGGGAGTGAGCAACAAAACTCTCGTTTGCAAGTTCGGGATTCATAAAATTCCCGTCTTCGCGG